AGAGAGGAGAGAGAGAGAGAGAGAGACGGGAAGGGGGGAGAGAGAATACAACAGCGAAATATGTTTTTATGTTGATAATAATTCATTTTATTGAGGAAAAAAACAGAATAGTTTTATTATTATTTTAAAATAATTTTTTTACGAAATATTCTTTTAAAATATTTTTTTTCGATTTACTCGATATATCATAAATCAACTGTTAGACCAATGGTTATTAGAAATCTTTGTAGATGAGAAAATATTAGTATCATATATCGATGAAAGAACCTCTCGTTAAAATTCAACGCGAGCGGAAAGTCCCGAGTGGACTTTTTGTTTTAATTATTTTCTACCGGCTGAAGAGAATATCGTGGATTCTTGACAATTTTCAGCTACGTCAGAGACTCGCTATAACAAAGACGCGAGTAAAACTCGCCCCGCGAGAAAGAACGTCAGGTCGAGCTCTGTCCGACTTACGGAAGCGAACATACGTATATCAAGCTTCGCTGCATAAGTAATTACGTTAAAATCTGCTAAATTTTCTCGTCAGAGGGGAGATTCTCGAGTCGGGACGACGAGAAGAGACCAGCGAGAGACACACGTTGCGAAAAATAAATGTTTCAGCCGTCGGCGCGGATGGAAAAGGAAAAAGAGAGTGTGTTCTCCGATTCGCGCCGAGATACGCGACGGCGCGGAATAAAAATTTCATTTACTTATCTTAATGGAATCCAATTATCATCTCTTTAAGCCGATCTTCGGCGCGGCACTTTCCGATTTTCAGAAGCGGCGCAGCCGGCGCGCCGGGGGTGAAGGAGAACGGAGCGGAAGGAAACGCCGGCCGTTCGTCGGCGTTTTATGAAGACCTTCGCGCGGCTCAAGACGCGCTACCAAAATAGACTGTGAGGTGTTATCGGCGCGGTGCATGCGGCACGACATTACGCGATATACAGCAACAGGTCTGAGCAATGTTACGGAAAGTGGGTTTGGTCGGTCGGGCCGGTCGGCGAGTCGGGAAGGCGGCGGCGGCGAGGCCGTGTTCGGGCATGTTTATTCACAACGCGTGTGGTTTCGATTGGCGGAGTGGCCGGGGCTAGGTCCGGAATTAATTAATTTGCCCGCGCTCGTCTCGACAAATGCCTACTGGCGATCTCAATTGGATCGAGCAACGCCGAACGTATCCTGGACCGAGAAGAATAACGCCCTTCCCGCCAGGAACGCCAGCGTATTGGCGGCCTCCGATAAATTGCAGACACCGATAAATTCGAACGATCATTGGACACAAACGGAAATTTAGATGTTTGTTTTATTATATATATATATATATATATAAAGCATGTATGTA